AAATCCTTGCTCTGTTCGTTTGGGAAATATTTGAAAAAGTGAACAAAATTCAGAGGAGAGCAAATAATTTTCACTTTAACTATATAATGCCAAAATTAAGCTCTCATTCAGCGGCAACTATTCAGTTAAATTCAGCTTTATTTCTTTATCCCTTTTTACAATGTAGTTTGTTCTAAAGCAACCTACCATGATGAAGAAAAGGGAAACATGAGAGAGAGAGAGCAACAGATGAAAATGGTGAGACTCCTGCTTTTACAGCAACACTGTCTGAAAGTAATTGAGTGTCCTTTCAGTGCACGCAAGCATCTGACCCCTTATGTTCTACTCTCTCGGGGCTATTTAGAAATACTTTGATTAAATTGAAATTAATTTAACAGAATTGTTTTGAATGTACTCTGTCTTGGAGGGGTTTTGGTTAGGGAATATGAAACACCATGAGTGTGATAACTAGGATAAAATTGGTGGCATGACCCACATTTCTGCCAATTTAGGTGTAAGATTACCAAAGCCCACACTTCAAAAGGGAGACCGTCACGCTAATATCCGGAGCCCTGAGCTAGCCAGTTTCTAATACATGTGTGCTTGACCAAAGACATACACAAAGCTGGACACACTCTCTACACATGTACTTTCATGTTCAGAAAATGTATCCAGGCACACATATGTGCTTTCATGCTTTTTTCACAGCAAAATCCTGTATTTATTATAGACATCTAAACGTACACAGCATGGCTAAGACAAGGCTAAACTTGGGCTGTGAGAGAAAATCTAATAGACATCTTTTAGCCCAAAAACAATTCATCGATTAGACAGACTTTATATGTGTAGTCATTCTTTTTCTGTTCATTTGATGACTAGTATAGGTTTGACAGCCCAAATTTAGCCTTGTTTTAGCCTAGGTGACTATGTTTAGACATCTACCAGACATATTAGACTTCTTTTAAAAACAACAAAAAATGCTTGCTGGGTTCTTTCTTTCTTTAATTTATATAAATGTTATTTCAAATACTAAATAGTGTTTAGATCACGTGTACGGTTGTTTTTTGGGGACTTCCCATAGATGTAATTATTGTTATTTTATACAATCTGTACATTCTAACAGCCTACTCCTGAAAAAAACCCTTACATGAAACAAATTACATGTTTACATTTCCAAAACACTTAATTCTGTGTGATTTATGAGGCGTTTTCCTCACCGGGACCAAAGAAATGTCTCTTCAAAGTCAAAACTTACATTGCTAAACACACGCTCATACAGTACATAACATTTTCCCAATATTTTAAATTGACATAAATGAATTTTCTGCTAATTAAATGTTCTAAATTACACCTTATTTAAAGTTTTGAAGACTCATTATCAGTATAGTCGTTTATAAATAAATTAATTGTTTTATTGTTTAAAACATGAATCTCTTAACGCTAAATTCAGAGAACAGACGATAACTTTTATTAAGTCTCAAACTTTTTGTGTGGACTTAATAAATAAGCCATGAAAGAAATTAAAATGAGAAACATGTTTCGTGTCAAGAAAGGATTACTTAAGCCTTACTTATGAGCCTTTGGGTGTACTTTAGTCCAAAAAAAAAAGGGAAAACACCAGTCCAGACAAAGATAAGTCTGTTTATAATGTTTGTACCATGACAATAAATCTTGATAAAAATATTAGTCCTTGCAGTGTGGAAATCTGGGGTTTGCCAGAGGGTCCAGTGCATATGCTTTGCATGTGCATTCATGTGTCTGGTGCCTTTAATTGAAGAGATCGTCGCTCTTTTCATTAGCAAATACACTAAAAGTGGTACAACACCACCCCTCTGTGTTCAAAACACATCACTGCATCCATTAACATCCATCGAACTGCCAGTAAACAATTAAAACACTCATCCTTTATACCATTTTGCTCATTATCTGTTCAAATCACAGCTATTTAAAAACATAAATAAATTTTTAAAAAAATCACAAATTTCTGCAGCCTCATGCATGGCTAAAAATACTGTTTGCCACTTTCCACAGTAGACTTTTACTTTTATCATATTTAATTTCTATTCTAATGTGGAAGATATTGGTCATATGCATCAGTTTTGGGAAACAGCACAGCGACAGTGGCTTTGTGTCAAAATAATGTGGGAAGATTATGGTGAACACAGAAACCAGCAGAGAGAGAGAAAGTTTTAATTAACTGCAGCCCTGAGGGACACCGAGCTCACAGCTACCAAACAAACACATCTGAGCAAAGCAAAAAGGATTTGTTAAATGAGAAGACGAATAATAAGAATGGGCCTATGGCTACAATTTGTCATAATGTTCACCTACCAAAACATACAATGACCAATTTTTCAAGATAAATCACTCAACATAGGATAATGGGTGCGCCATTAGAGGTAGTTGGCATGGAGGGTGTATAATATCATGCACGTGTCTCAAGGGACCATGATCTGACTGGGTAGAAAAAGAAGTAGCCTACACAGAAGAAAAAACGAATGAGGACAAAGACTAGATTGGGTGATGTCTGAAGAGAGGAGAAAGCAATTAGAGTTTGACTTGGGTTCTATAACAATTAAGCTTGGCTAAAAATAGCTCTGAATGTTTTTTTTTTTTTTTTTACACACGTCCACGTTTTCAGATAGCCCTCGTGTCCGGTGAAGAGATGATAAGATGATTGCTTTCTTTGTGGTAACACAGAAAAGCATGTAATGATTATAATCAACTGATGTCATTTAGCTTAGCAATTGAAAATATAATAACAGATGCATCCCATATTAGGCCCATGTTGTATCAGGCTCTCAATCCCTGACAAAGCAAAACAAGCAATTCAGACTGAAAATGAAGAGATAATTAGAGTGGGGCACATGAAGAGCGCAGCCCTCTTGCTGTCCTTGTTAGAAATAAAATAGTATGATCTGTTGCTTTCAGCCACATTCAGTCTATTTTCTAAGAATCATATAGATCTTCGCCTGTGCAATTTCCTCCAACCCAAATAAATGCTTAACAAAAATATGTTCCGTTTTCTATTCAAACCACCTTTGCTTTTGTGAAAGGCCTAATGCATTTTTTAAATTTAGATCAAATAAAAAAATATATATATAGGGCGACGCAGTGGCGCAGTAGGTAGTGCTGTCGCCTCACAGCAAGAAGGTCGCTGGTGTGTGAATGTGTGTGGATGTTTCCCAGAGATAGGGTGTGGCTGGAAGGGCATCCGCTGCGTAAAAATGTGCTGGATAAGTTGGCGGTTCATTCCGCTGTGTCGACCCTGAATTAATAAAGGGACTAAGCCAAAAAGAAAATGAATGAATGAAAAAACAGTATATGAACATTTATGTAAATATAATTGTCAATGTTATTATTTTCCCAAAAAATTTGGTCAGATTAACAAATTTGTTGATGATGAAATTCACAGCTATATCACTAAATACTGATTTCTCATCTCTTCTGAGGTTAAAACGTTGTAATGTCTTTTCTTTAAAAAAATGACATAAATATGTCTAAAAACATAGCGACATGGTGGCGTAGTAAGTCGCGCTGTCACCTCACAGAAAAAAAGGTCACTGGTTCGAGCACTGGCTGGTTCAGTTGGCATTTTTGTGTGGTGTTTGCCTCTCCATTTGTTTGCGTGGGTTTTCTTCGGGTGCTTGGGTTTCTCCCACAGCCCAAAGACATGCACTATAGATGTATTGAATAAGCTAAATTGGCCGTAGTGTATGAGTGGTTGTGAATGCAAGTATGGGTGTATGTGTGTTTTTTCTTAGTGCTGGGTTGCAGCTGGAACGACTTGCTCTGCACTAAACATATGCTGGCTAAGTTGGCAGTTCATTCCACTGTGCCGACCCCTTTTTACAGTTTTTCTCAGTCACTTTGATGCATTTCTCACAACACTATTTACATTTGCACAACAGTTGATGCATTTCTCAAAACAATTAGTACAAACTGCAAAACCTAGCTGATGACCTGCAAAAGTGCGTTATTTGCTAAAAATGGATAGTTCATTCCTCAAAAGCAAGAATTCATGTCAATGAAAGTGTCAGTGTCATCAAGATGAAAAGTCCTGACACCATTGTTTAATGGTCAAATGGCTTTGTCATGTTTTCATTATGACAGTTTACTCTGTTATTATTTTCCAATGCAAAAAAGTCAGATTTTGGTGACACATCCTAAAAATGCTCAGTACAGCACTAGATACTATTTGCACAGCCATTTGAAAACTACTGTAAAGTTAAACAACTCTGCATTTAGTGAGGTATCTGATTATAAGACACATAATATGCATGTTTCACATTTTTACTGCATTTGCTCTTTGCAACTCTTTTACAATTCACAGCATTATGCAAAAGAATAAATACACCCTTATTTATAACAAACATAAACTTCCTTTGGGAAGAGCTGTGCACAACTATAAAGATTTGCAGAACATATTGGAACTGAACCTACAACATACACAGGTCTGTAAATCATTCATGAAATTGTCCAATTTAAGAGACATTTTCAGAAAAAAAAATATTTAATTTTTTTATAAAATTTGCTTGACAGATTTTGACAACTAGTTTAAAATTGTTGTATGTAACGACTCAAGTAAGAAATGAATGGTTTTATATGGAATGAGTATTCAGCATTCACAAGTTTATGAATGAATGTCTAAAAACATGGCACTGTTATGCGGCAAAAATGTTTAAGCAGTTATAAAATTACTATATTTTATTTTAAATGAACAATATCTATTAAACCTTAAAATAAAACAAACATTCAAATTTTAGACAAACCTAATATATCATACCTAATAAATTCTATAAAAGTGCTATGCATAACTATATTTATTTTTCTCTTCAACAACAAAATGTGATACTGATTTGCAAGGAGAGTTTAAAATAAACTGCTTTAGCTAAATAAAATTCCTGACATACTCACCCATCAACTAAACTTTAGGTCTCCCGGATAATGAGTAATGATTTTGACTATCAATGTCCAAAATAAGGCACAATGCATTGTTGAGTTTACTTTTATTACAAGTCTGTGTGAAAAAGTTAACTTTTTATTCAGTCAAACAAACAGTAGCTCGACCCTGACCTTGACACAAACGCAAAAACATCAGTTTGTTTGTATAAGCATAGAGCAGTGTAATGATCTATGAAGGCGGGAGATTAAAATTGCTCTCAAAGCTCATTGGTTCTAATCTTTATTGGCATGTGGAATAAAGCCCTATTTTTTAATCAACAAAGAAAATACACAAAATTTACACACTGATTTTTAATAGCCATCAATTCTAGAAAGATTCACTTTGATGTAACTTAGAATATAAATGTTTTTTTATTAAGTGATGACAGCACCAAATGACATTAATTCCCTGACACTTGTCTTGTTTCTAGCCATTTAATATATTTTTAACACAAGCCATTACTGTATTCATCATTTATTATAATGTTGCAGACTTCATAGACTTTTCATTTACAATTTGGTAACCTTTGGGATGATGTATAAGTGTTAAAGTACACATACAATCCAAAGTTGGTCACAGTCCACCATAAGGTACATGTTTGAGTAATTTATGTGTGTTGAATGTTTGTCTAAAGACAGTATGCCAAAGTACTATAAAAAAGTGAAGAACTTCTAACATAAATGAAATCGTTCATTTCTTCTAATTATTTCTTCTTTTACTCAATTAACTGTTAATTAATAAGAATTGTACTCATTGTTCAGTTGCATTTTTGCAGACCTTGTTAAACTACAAAATTGTATATTTTTAAAAGTTAAAATTAAGTAGTGTTTTCATTTACAGAACAGTTTATCCACTAAAGTCATTGTTATTGTGTCAGTGAACTCCCGTAACAATAATTTCCACAGGATGGTTCGAATCATACTTTTATGATTTATACCTTTTATGATTTTACATAATTTGGACATATTTTTATGACATAGTTAGCTTTCTGCGCTCCAGTGTGATCCATATGCCCTGCTCTGGTCGCAATACCAGTTCACCCAGTGGGCGAAGTTCTTCCCTCTTTTGACATGCTACGATGTTAAAGTAGCGCAGAATATAAGCCAGAATAACCTTCTCCTCCATGATAGCAAACCGCTGACCTGAATATAAAAAATCAATCAATCAATCAATCAATCAATCAATCAATCAATCAATCAATCAATATTCATGAACTTAATACACAGAGAAGTACTGTAATATTAGAATTAAAAGTAGCAGTAGTAATGTAGAAGTCGCCTCCATACATGATGTTTCCATTAATAATTGCAGGTCTCACCAATGCAGTTGCGAAGACCAGCAGAGAAAGGAATGTAGGCATAAGGATGTCGACCAACGCAGTTCTCTGGCAGGAATCTCTCAGGACGGAACTCTTCAGGATCAGGGAAGAAGCGTGGATCACGGTGGAGGGCATAAGTTATGACGACTATGTTTGTTCCTTTAGGAACTTTAAAGCCATCTACGAAAGACACACAAATCATGTGAGATGTCATTCCAAATTCTTTCCTAGATCACAAACAATTCACCATGTCATAATATATTCAGCTATATATTATTTTGAAATAATATATATATAATTTTTATGTATTTGCATTTATTGTGTATGTGTTCCATGTGCAAGAAAAAAAAAAACATTAGGATTTGCAATGATAATTGAGCTTGGGGCGATTAGCTAAAGTATACTATAAATACTATAGTAAAATATTAAATAAATAAATAAATAAATAAATGCTTAATGGCTGCCATAGATAGATAGATAGACAGATAGATAGATAGATAGATAGATAGATAGATAGATAGATAGATAGATAGATAGATAGATAGATAGATAGATAGATAGATAGATAGATAGATAGATAGATAGATAGATAGATAGATAGATAGATAGATAGAAAGAAAGGCAGGCAGACAGACAGACAGACAGACAGACAGACAGACAGACAGACAGACTAATAAATGGAACTCACTGATTTGCGTATCATCACAGATGGTTCGGGCAAAGAATGGAACAGAAGGGAAGAGACGCAGAGACTCCTTTATCACACACTCCAGATAACGCAGCTTCTTCAGATCCTCTGTATTAACAGGCCTTTCAGACTCGCCTGAAACACAAATGCAATGCAAAATTACTCTGATAATTTCCAAGCACTTTTACATCAAAAATAATATAACGATTTAAGCATCAATTCTAGGTGTTTAAAGGGCACCTTTGGTGAAAAATCTACTTTCCAAACTGTTTGGACAGACATGTGTGTAGGTAAAGTGTATAGGCCGTCACATTGGGGTGATGTAAATACACCCAGTCCTTTTTTTCAATTTAACAACATAAAAACAGTGGACAAATTTGAGCAGTTGTCAGACCGACTGCAACTTGACGTAGGAGTGCGGTCCCCCCGCCCACTAAATTGATTGACAGCAGCGCATATTAACATGTCCCGGTTGTCACATGTATAATCATGTCAACAAGATCAGACATGCACAAAGCAACTGGGAATAAAAGGTCTGATCAATTCGCTAGGATCATCAATCATCATTAAATGTGATCAAGAGTAAGTTTCACATGTTTAAAATGTTTTAAAACTGTGCATGTGTGTAATGAAGTACAACGATTTACTTCAGCTTTACTTCATCAGCACAGCCGCGTGTCAAAACAATTATAAAGGAAGACGTTTCAATCCCGGTTTGTGGACATAAAATCAGGTTTATTTTGTACATTAACAAAACAGATATCCACACAGCAGTGGAGATTAAGCTGTATCCTTTCACGCATGCATGCAAAAACAGTGCAAAGCTAAACACGCGCTCTGTCTGTCTGTGTGTGAATGTCTGCTGCACTGTGTGTGTGCGTGTGTATCTCTGTGTGTGCGCGCACGTGAACTTGGTAACGACATTGTGTGTGACTCATCGATGCAACTGCACAACAAATACTCGGTAACTTGGTAAAGTTCCTACTGTAGTATTTCTCACAAACGCTACGTGAGATCTGCTTCCTTTAAGTCTGTCTGTTGTCTGACGCAGCTGAGGGAGGAGATTAAGGCACGCAGAAAGACACGTAGAAACGGTAGGCGGGAAGGACCAGCCTTAAAGGCGCAGTTTGACAAAACAACCTCCAGGTGGAAAAATGTATAAAATATAATCTTGTAAAAGGTATAATGAAAAATCTGATGGGTGTTTTGAGGTAAACCTTTACAGGCACATTCTGGAGACGCAAAACACTTATATTAAATCTGAAAAGAGGGTTAACCTAGGTGCCCTTTAAAGTCACCATGAAATTGAAGTTAAAAATGTCATTTTTCCCCTTCCATATTGTGATCTACATTCACTTGAAATGGTCTAGAAAAAAAAAGAAGGAAAATCAACACACCAAAAACCTCAAAGAGTTCTTGTTGTGCCTTTCTCTGGACTTCAGGATGGGAGCCTAACAAGTGTATGGCCCAGTTCATAGCAGCCGCTGTAGTGTCATGACCCTGCAAAACGTAGCAGAAATTCTGGAATCGTGCCATTGGAATATAAGATAACATCAAGTCACTGTCGCTACATTAAAAACAGGACACAGTGACCTATGAAAGGCATATAAGACATAAAATAATCATGGCCATTTTGGAGATTGAACTGGCCATTTTAAAGGGCCCAGTAGAGTAGGCTTAATGGATTTCTTTATTTATTAACATTCTATATATTTAATTTTCAACATTGGCACAAATATTTTGATACAAAAATATGCTTTATTTGACAACAGATTTTAACATCATATTTATACCATATATAAATATAGAAGGGGAAAGGTGGAAGGGGGGAGGTGTTAGGGTTCAATTCTTGCTTTCTGTTTCATCCGTTTCACTGTATGCACTGTATTTCATTCATCACTGTATGCAGATTTTTAGGTAACTATTTTTTATTTCAACTGACACCAAACATAGTCAATTAATAATTAGAAAACATATTCCTGAGTGATGCTAGAGTTTGACCGCATGTATTGCATAGTACAGGGACTTGACAGTGAAACTGAAATTATTGTGGTTTTAGAACACAATAATTCATTAGTATGGTGTAGGGCCTACTTTTGCAGCCAGTTCCATACAGCATCAATTCACCCTGGGAATGATAGATACAAGTCCTGCACAGTGGCCAGAGGGATTTTGAGCCATTGTTCTTGCAGAACAGTGGTCAGGGGCCTCATATCTCAACGCTGCGTATGCACAAAAATTTGCATGCGCCAGATTTCACATTCACGTTTGGATTTACTAACGATGAAATTAACGTGAGAATGTGCGTTGGTCCATGCCAACTTTATGCCTGGCATACGTGCATTTCTTGTGTGTGTTTGTTTTATTTTCATTGGCGACTCTTAGGAGCAATTGTGTTCAATTGCACACTACAAAGTATTTTTGGCCGTGCAATGCCAGCTGTATGGGACAGGATCATCTGCATGTCTAGCAGGTATTTAAGGTTTCCATACAATGCAGTTGACCAGCCAAACATTAAAGTACAATTTGCTGCGATCGCCGGTTTTCCTAATGTCATCGAAGCGATCTACTGCACGCACATTGCTATAAAGGTGCCATCTAAAGACGAATTTGCATACATGAATTAAAAACACTTCCATTTAATAAATGTGCAAATAATATTTGAGGCTCAAATGGGGAGGAGGCAGGGAGGGGTTTTGCGATCCTGCAAATGCGCTCAGTTTCACATTAATTTGGATGTACAAAGAGAATATGTGTGGGATTCACGTACGCAGTGTTTCATACATCAGAATTTTTTTAATGCGTACGCACATTTACAGCTTTGTGTGTACGCAATGTTTTAGTATGAAATAAACGCAAGTCTTCATACGTGAGACCCCAGGTCACTACATGATGCTGGTGGTGGAAAATGTTTCCTGACTTGCTCCTCCAAAACACCCTAAAGTGGCTCAATAATATTAATATAATTATAATCTGGTGACTGTGCAGGCCATGGGAGATGTTCAACTTCACTCTCATGTTCATCAAACCACTCTGTCACCAGTCTTGCCGTGTATATTGGTGCATTATCATCCTATACATGGCACCACCTTCAAGATACAACCATTTTGAACCATTGGTTGCACATGCTCCTCCAGAATGGTTTTGTAGTCCTTGGCAGTGATGGGCTTATCTAGCACAAGTATTAGACATTAGAATGCTATGATGTTGCAGCCCAAACCATCAATATCCACCCATTGTTTCAACCTAGGCATGCAACAGTTTGGGTGGTACGCTTCTTTGGGGCTTCTCCACAACATAATTCTCCTGGATGTGGGAAAAACAGTGAAGGTGGACTCACCAGAGAACAATACATGTTTTACATTGTCCACAACCCAAGATTTCTTGTGTTTGATTAAGATTTCCGCTGCTGGCACTATTGAAATAGACGATTGACATTGGCACAAATGACCAAAGGTTTGGCTGTAGCTGCCCGGGCCATGCATACTGACCCTGTGGAGCTCCTAATGAACAGTTTTTGTGGAAACAGGAGAGTTAAGGTGCACATTGAGATTTGCAGTGGGTTGGGCAGCTTCCTCTTGAATCCACAGTTACTGCTGTTGGATGTGGTTCATAATTCTATGCTGACATTACCCTGGATACTGTGGCTCCTGATACATCACAAAGACTTTATGTACTATTAAACTGCTAATTAAACCTTCACATTCTGCTCTTACTAGTGGAATGTGAAATCAATGAAGATTGGCCATCAGGCTGGTCAAATTTAGCCATGAAACCTCCAACACTAAATTGCCAGTGTTTCAGTTTCATTGTCCAAACCCTATCTTGAATGGAAAACATCTTAGAGAGCTTTAGTTTAGACAAGTTGGTCCAAGAGCTTACATTGTATGAGGGCAGACCTAACATATTTTTAGAGAATCTATTTATTTATTTTTTGCTCCCTTTTTTTGTACCCCTCAAAATGAAACCCCACCTATAACAGCTTCTACCTCAAACATAAATGTATCCACTTCTTCCTGGATATCTTTATGGGTTAACATTTTGCCATCCTCGTCTTTTGTTTTCAACAGCATATCTAGGAAAGCCCGCCTTTTCCTCATCCCCTGATCTGATTCGCTGTCGGACTCAACGTAAGATAAGTACTCAGCTCTCTCATTGATCACCTGTGTGATAGAAAAACACATGACAAATCAGAATAAGGAAATTACTTGAATGAATGTGGACAAGCACATTAAAGACACTCACACTCTCTGTGAAGGAATGGAGGATCTTCAGACTACGGTTATGTTCTCTGCCTTCACCAACATAGTTATACACAAAGTCAGGCCAGTACCAAGGCATCCTCTGCCGCCTGGTGATGATGTCACTCATTCTGCACCAAACAGAAATGCAAATAAAAATAGAATCAAAAGAAATAGACTGTTTAGAATACCAACAAAACTCACATTAAAATGAAAATCCTATCATTATTTACTCACTCTAAGGACTTTACTTTTAATCAGGAATCACCAAACTTGATCCTGGAGGTCCAGTGTCCTGCAGATTTTAGCTCAAACACTAATCAAACACACCTGAACAAGCTAATCGAGGTTTTACTACAGTAGGAATACTTGAAACATCCAGGCAGGTGTGTTGAGGCAAGTTGGAGCTAAACCCTGCAGGGCACCGGTTCTCCAGGTACGAGATTGGTGACCCCTGTTCTAAATCATCTTTGGAATTAAATGAAGATATTCATTCATTCATTTTCCTTCGGCTTAGTCCCTTTTTCAGGGGTCACCACAGCAGAATGAACCGACAACTATTCCAGCATATGTTTTACGCAGCGGATGCCCCTACAGCCACAACCAGTACTGCGAAACACCTGTACACTATGACATTCACACATGCACTCACACACTACTGCCAATTCAGTTTATTCAATTGACTTGTAGCATGAGTTTGGGCTGTGGGGTAAACCAGAGCACCCAGAGTGAACCCACGCCTACACGAGGAGAACATGCAAACTGGCAGGACTTGAACCAGCAACCATCTTGCTGTCAGGTGACAGTGCTAACCACTGAGCCACCACGCACCCTTAAATGAAGATTTTTTTATTGGAATCACTTTATACATCAAAAGATCATATTATAAATATATATGAATTGAGAGGTTTTATCCATTTTGGGACTTCTCTTATGAGTCATACTATTAATTGAACATGTGTTTAGTCTTCACACTGAAACCGTGAACAGCAAATAATATTAGGTGTATTTCAGTTTGGTCCCAGCTCTAGCATGCTTGCTTAACATTCAGACATGATTCAACTTCTGTTTTTGTTTGCTGACTAATGTTTATAGGTGAATAAAAGCGTGAATTAAATCTGTTCATCATATTGACCTTATTCTAAAATGTGGCAATGCGCCTGTTTTCGCGATTGTCTTAGAACTTCTGATTCAGTCGCCTATGGGAGAAATGACTAGGAATGATAAATGGCAGAAAACGGTCAAACTACTTGCTCTACAAACAAATGTTTGCATGACTATACAGACCAAGTATAATAATATAAGAAGAAAATATCAAATTGCTACACCAAGCAGCGTAATGAGCAGTTTTTAACGTCAAAAAATAAATGGAAGTGAATTAGACCGGAAGTCAAAAAGCCAAAAAGATTCAAATGGCAGCGCCCGCTCGTCGGCAGAGAATAAGGTGAATAAAACAGGTGAGTGCTATCTAACGAGTCTGAAGAGCTTGATTAGCTGGTTCAGGTGTGCCTTATTAGGGTTAGAGATAAAAGCTTCATGCTTTGTTGTAAATACTATCACTTTGAGATGGCAACACATGATGTACTGTTCTGTTCTGTTCTGTTCTGTTCTGTTCTGTTCTGTTCTGTTCTGTTCTGTTCTGTTCTGTTCTGTTCTGTTCTGTTCTGTTCTGTTCTGTTCTGTTCTGTTCTGTTCTGTTCATGCCTTTAGACTTCAAGTGGCACCAATTCAGAAAACTCCAAGTTTACAAGTAGTAATCGCGAGTTCTACAAGGATGTGATCTCAATTTACCATTCTAAATCTCATAAATTATGATAATTTGTTCCACTGTGGCTTGAAAACACTTAAAACTCCACACACAGATTAAGACAGACCTGATAAAAAGTGACTGTCTTTTTAGAAGACTTTTATTAAACTTTGGTTATTATGAATCTTTTTTATGGCTTTTATGAACTTTGGAAGAGTCAAAGCTCTGGGTAAATAGACTTTAAATGCTAGGCCAAAATTTCTTGGATTTGATATCTTCATTTGAGCTCTGAAGATGAACAACATAAGGGTAAGTTATAATCCTTTGCTTCAGCTATGACAAGCCCAATTTACAGCACTCTGACAGATGCCAACAAAAGCAGACAAGCACCAGAATACATGTAATTAGTTGTCGGATGTTTCATGACCAGACAAACTGACAAGTGCTTATTCAGAATGTTTAGTTGTCAAATTGAAAATGCATGCCTCATTTATCCAACAGTAGACAGTCCTATAAGATTTAGGACACGAAAAAAACATGACTTTGCCTGAATTGCATATCTTGTGCATAAATGTGGACATTTAAGCTTCATAGTAGAGTTTAATACGTTTGGGCAAGGGTACGTTTGATTTAGTGCTTTTCACATATCATTAAAGCTTTCCAGAAATCGCTGACAGCTCCGTTAAATAGTTGGATACAAAAAAAAAGAGAGTGTTTACTTTATATTTATTTATTTTAATTAATAATACAATCTAGAATTACTTTGAAATATTTCACCCTGGATCAACTCACAGAAAGATTCAGTCTTCCATTGTGGCCTTTAGTCCATTCAAACAAACATGACCGTGGCATAAAAGCGCATGACTCCGTTAAACACACACAGACATTTGCACATTACAAACTATTATTGATTTGAACTCAAATGTACAACCATACATCTGTTATCCACCCTACATGTCCCGGCCATTTAATTTATGATAAAACCCACTTACCTGTACACAGTGCGCACATACTCTGAGTCATAGTTGCTCTGTGCATAGATCCTCTTTCCCATGGCAGTTTCTGAAATGTAATTAGTTTATTAATTTGATAGGCTACTTAATACATCTAAATTGCAATTTAAATAAAACAAAAGAATGGACTGTAGAATACTTAAATGCACAAGATTGAAGTATTTTGTCATAAAACATACTACAAAATACAATAATTTTGAATTAAAATAATTCAGAATATATTTTTTCCTAAAGGATTAATTTTGTTATCCTCTCACTATACTAAACCATTAGAGAGAATTCACTAAAATGTAAAACTGTGTCATCATTTACTCCCCCATCCCGTTTCAAACATGTTTGAGTTTCTTTCTTCCGTTAAACGCAAATGAAGATATTTTGAAATTAGCTGGAAACCCGTAACTAATGACTTCTATCGTAGAAAAAAAAAACACACTATGGAGGTCAATAGCAACAGGTTTCCAGCTTTCTTCATAAGGATTTTTTAGAGTTCATCAGAATAAATATACAGAATGACAAAAGTGGTTTGAAATGTTGAGTATGAGTGAGTAAATTTACATTTTAGTTGAACTAAACACGCAAACAAATTGTTAAAGAAAACCTTTAAACATTACTATAAAATACATTATTATATTATATTATATTATATTATATTATATTATATTATATTATATTATATTATATTATATTATATTATATTATATTATAAAAATCACACAAACCACAGATGATGTCAAGGGCACAGAGAGTGATGTGGCTAAAGCAGTTAAATGGGCCCTTTCCGGCTTGCTTTTCTAGTTTCTCTATGAGCACCTCTGCTTGCTCATTCATCACCTCCAGGAACTCAGTTAGTATCGAGAAATGAAATGTTGGAGTCAGCATCTTGCGTCTGCGTCTCCACTTATCCCCAGTACTAACCAAAGGAAAAATAAAAATGAATGTATTTCCTATGTTTGACCTGTAGTTCTGCGGCAAGCAAATGAACAATCCAAATAATGCAACCCTGGCTCATTAGAAATGCATGGTTCAGCTGTCTTTTTTGCGAAACCACAAACACTTGAACACACATTTGACTGCAGCTTGGCCATACAGCCTGCTTTTCTGGCATGATCAGATTTCTTAGTATAGTGGCTCATTTTTGTATGATGTTGTGTTTTGATGGGGAGGGCTCTGGCTCAAGTCCAGTGAAGCTCAGTTCCATATAAAGAGATCAAGCAATGTAAAATAAAGCTGAATGTGGTCAAAGTGTGAATGTTTGCTTTTGAAAACACTAAGGGTTGGGTTTACGAAAGCATTTATGTCAGTGGTTTACTATGTGAGCTGTACAACAAGCCCTGCCTTCATGTGAGCATGTACAAGAACATGTATTTGACATGTACTGTAAGTAAAATGATTTGAGATTCACACAAAAAAATGTAGACAGCACCCTCTAGTGGATTTGTCTGCTGAAATGTGCAACAAAGTGTACATGGAGCAGCATTTTATGTTGAGCAAAAAATGTTGGCTGAGGTACATTTTCCACTGAGCCTGGTTAAAATTACAAGTTTCATCTTGAGTTTGCATTTTATTGTAAATCAATATTATTTATGGATATTTGGAAATAACTTGCAAAGTTATAACAATAGAATTAAAAATGTAAACAGTGTCCTCTAGTGGATTTGTCATCTGAAATGTGCAACAGAATGTAACTAGAGCAACATATTTTATGTTTCACTAAAATGAATGCTGTGGTAATATTTACAAAGAGCCTGACTGAAATATTATGTTTTCATTTGAGTTTACATGAAATTATAAATGTGTATTCTTTATAGATATTTGCAAATAACATGCAAGGTCATAATAATAGATATCAATCATTTTATTAAGAGTAGAAATTAATTGTATTAAGTAAAGAGCTTACCTTGTGAGTAGTCCTGTTCCTAGCCAGGGGTGCAGAAATTGGTATGCATAGGCCTTGTCAATGTGAACAGGATTATTTAGGACTGTCTGTATATGTAGTAGGATTTGCCAAAAGCAATATATAAAAAAAGAAAAAAAATAAACCATCAAAGCTTGTAAAATTGCCTTTGTATAAATGAGCGTTACCACTTGGTTAATGTAAAAGCCTATAGAGATGTTCTGGTCATGCAAATTAAAACTGAACACATAAAAAGCTTTCTGTTTTTAAACATTTTGAATCTGTTTGCCAGTAATGACTGCTGAAATTAACTAAAATGATGGCTCCTCTGACACAGATGCACCTTTTCCCCCTTAACTGTAACTAGCAGAACTAGTTTTTAATCTGATTAAATGTGTTTTCTGATTACATTAATACAGTGAATCCTGCATGATTTGCACTTATACTTGGACTTTAATACTGTATTCTCTTTGAATATATTCTCTGTTCTTTCATATGATTCTTATACAGTATGTTTATTAGTTTCTATAAAGATAACATGCATAAAATACACTATCATTTTCTTTTACATAATGCAGTCATCAAATTTGTGGTGCCTATAAATAAGCTTGTTACCAAGGTTATCTTTATCTTCAAACATTCTCTTATGAAATGCACTAGGTCAAAGATCCTAAACATAACAGAGGAGTGTCTGTGTCCTTTTGTCTTCTGTAAGGGCAAGTGAACGATACCTCAACTGTCTCAGCATGAAATAAGATGAGAAATGGAATGGGTCCAATCCATATTTTGAGTAGTGGAGAATTCTGGAATTCAGTTGTGTATCCAACCAACTGGAGAAAGAAATCTGAAATATTTACAATTACAATTTCTATTACAAAGACTATAAAAAGTTCTTGGAAGTTCTATTTTTATAGGGTTTACTGCACTGAATAAAACAACACATTGGATTTACTGAATTGTTTAAGGTTGCAAAAGATTTGTAGGCTGACTTTAAACAAACAAGTTAAATTGAACATTACTAAATTAAATTAGTTTGTCTAAATTCAGCCCATATAAATTGTCTGCAACAATGACCGTAAAAAAACATTTAGCAAATCTTATGAATATTTTTATTATTTTTTGTGTGTGCTTGATTAGAATTGCATTTTTATTATCATTTTATCTTACCTTATTATCGTGGATTAGTTTGTATTTTACATATGTTAACCAATGACGACAAAATGTTTTTGAGTTGCTGAGAAAAAAAAAGAAATTGACACATAAGCTCCTCTCACCTCCGTTCGATTTAAACTGCAGCGCGTTCCCGATAAACGGAAATGTGTTTCCAATGCCCGGGATGGGCTTCAGCTCTTTCCATTTGTGCAGATAGCTTTTCAGCAGCTGGTAGGTGATATATGCAAAGCAAATAACACAAACTGATGCAGCCACAAACCCATAAGTATACACGCCGACAAACGCGACCATATTGTCAGCGAGTTGTCTGTGTCTGTGTGACCTCTCCAGTGTTTTAATCTATAGTGTACTGGACTTTGGATCATCCAGGCAAAAATTCCTCCTGCTACTGCAGAAACATTCACAAGATTTCTGAAATGGAAAACTAAAAATGGGTGTATGTAAAAAGCTCATCTCTGCATGTTTCTCAGTTTCTTTAGTTAACTGTTTCTTTAGCAAACCCTCAGTCCAGTCCTCTATCACCTTCAAGTGCTTAGGCTTAAGCAATTGAATATGTCTCCTCTTCCAAGTCTATCTATTTATCCATCTATCCATCCATCCATGTTGTAAAGGACATTTTTTTTCTAGTTTGCCAGAAAATGATAAAAACTTCAGTCATTCTGTAGTGCCTGAGAAAGGGACCATGTGCATAAAAGTTCATAGAGAGTATTTTTTTTTATGTTGAATTAAAACTTTAAAATTGTTTAAACAAAATTTTTTTTTTATTTAAATATTTGTGACATTTGGTTATTTTTTATAGGCTATGCTTTATTATAAATCTTATAATTTTCTCCATTTCAAACCAAAGTCTCCATTACTTGTCCCATACATGTTGTTAGGTAGTTTCTTGTATCCGATATATGTGACTTGATCTGATCTGACAATATTGCATTATATCCTACAACATAATAATCATACTACATTTAGCTTATATAATAGCCCATTGATTGCACTTGCCTGTTCTGGTAGAAGTAAATTTGAGCATCTTGCCAAAAATGAATATGTTGGAATAATGCCAGGGACAGGTTTTAGTTCTCTCTATTTATGAATATAATCTTTCAATGTGTTGTTAATGTCAGCACAAAATAAATTGACACAACAATCATGTTCATATAATAGATCGGCAAGTTCCATTTCCATTTTTTTTTTAGACCTGTGTAGTGTTTTTTAGAGGAGCTCCTCATCTGTTTAATGATGACTGGATGTTGTGCAACCCCTTATGCCATGGGATTAGCTAAGATTTTCAATTACAATTATTATTTTATTCTGCACATTCATTTCATCACAATCTTCCTTCAAAAGGTTCCTTGTAAAATACTGACACATTACAGTCAATATAATATTTAGGCCTATAATACATCACAAGCAAGATAAGGGCTCATTATCACACATGGCAATATCTCAGTCATTACAAGATTGTGTTTAATAGTTGATAGCAATATGATAAATGTACATTCTTTACACATGGTGATTTTATTTATTTTTTAAATCACTCTTAAAGCTTGAACTGCTCTACAGCATGTGTTTATAATAAATTGTTTGTATGATTCTTGAATGGTAAGAAATATTCCGTGAACTAAGGAAGGCAGAGTGGATTTAATTTTAAGAACGACCACTGGGTGGCTGCCTTGTACAATTTAACTGGTTAGCATTCTAACATAGGTAAACTGCATTCTTAGGGCCTACATTGACACGGTTTAGCATAAATACTGCATGGTTTAAATAACAGACTTGACTACTCCACTTTATTTTTGTTTGGGAAACAAAAATAGTTCCTTGAAAATTTTAATGGAATAATAAATATATACTGTACAATGCTGCTGGAAAGTTTGTGAACCCCTTGCAGAATTGAAGAAAATGTGAAAAAAAAAACATTAAGAACAACCACTTTTAAACAGGATGAAGATGAGCACATTTTTCTTCTTGTTCTTCTGCCTTTTGGAGGCAACAGAACTTTTCCCAGAAAACAAATGAAGTACAATATACTGTACCTTGATCCCTGAATTCCAAAAGTTTCAACAAACATTCATTCATTTTCTGTTTGGCTTAGTCCCTTTATTAATCTGGGGTTGCCACAGTCGAATGAACCGCCAACTTATCCAGTTTTACGCAGCTGATGCTCTTCCAGCTGCAACCTCCACTACAGACATTTTAGCCAAGTCAATTCACCTGTACTGCATGTCTTTGGACTTGTGGGAGAAAGCACCCGGAGGAAACCCATGCCAACATAGAGAGAACACATAAAAGCCAACTGACCCAGCCGAGACTCGAACCAGCAACCCTTCTTGCTGTGAGGCAAACGTGCTACTCACTTCACCACCGTGCAGCCTTTCAACAACCAATGGTTCACAAAACTTTGCAGGCAGATATTTAAAAAGTTTTTTTTTTTTTTTTTTTGTGAACTACGCTATACCCAGGGCAGTTGGCTTTTGTCTGCATAAGTGTCTTGTTTGGATTTCCAATGAGATTATGCAATTGTGACCACAAAAGAAAATAAAGTAGTGAAACTTTCAGTATCATGGGAGCGATTCGATTAATTTGACAGTTTAAAAGCAAAAAATGTACAGCACTACTTATTGAAAAAAATTCTAGTTGACCTTGTTTGTAGAGGCTAATGCTGAGCGGAGTTTCTGATGAAATGCTGGGATGCGTTCCTTGTGTAAAGGCCAGTAGAGGACACATTTAGGCTTCAACATGCCACGACGAAGATGAAGAGAGCGATTCAGGTTGTAATCAGTTACATCTTCCAAGAAAATCAGGATCAGTGAGTCGCGGTTATCCTCCATTACATGATGAAGAGCATGATGGGCTTTGAATCTGCAGAGTTGAGAGAGGAAAACATTGACACTTCTGAACTTTTGAATTTTCAAAAATACCTGTGCATTGTAACTTGAAACAGGGAAAACATGGTTAAAATGTTTTATTTTTATTTTGAGTATCCAAAACTACACCTTTAAGAACTGAAAAGGATCAGCAAATTGCATTTGATTTAATGGTGACTAAATATACATTTAACTATGCCTTTTAAATTTGTTTTATTGTTTAAATAATTAAGATCATTTTACTTACTGCCTACACCATGGATCCTTTAGTAGCATTTCTGTTATAACAAAAATGATCTTCCTGGAGTATACCATGTTATCAACAATTGTCTCAAGACGAGAATGTCCAGGTGTAGAATCTCTCTGTTCATAGAAAAAATTTAAATCTTTGTCCTCCAGAGAGAGCAAGCTTCGTTCCACCCATGATTTATCTTCACCTGCGTGGATGATATAGGCATCAAATTGAAATCTACCTTCAGTAACTTTTGCATCCTTCAGCGACCCTAACATACGGTTTACCATTATATTCCAGTAGAACTGAATTCTCCATCCCTGGAAGTGTACCAGGAAGGATATAAACAACAACATTAACACTGCCGTACTACTCAAAATGTACAGCGCCTTAAAAGGTGTCATGTCCTTGCAGGACAAAGGATCAAAGTTCATTACAGAGTGATTAAAGTAGGCATTGGGGGTATTGCAGATATAACTTTGAGGAAATCCTGGAACGCTGGTGTTGGTGGAGTTCAGCCATTCAGAGAACCACAGGATGCTCTCACAGGTGCAGTCAAATGGGTTGTGGTCCATGTTAAGTTCTTTCAGTTTGGACAGTGGCACACCAAACGTAGCCCTTTGGACAGATGTTATAAGGTTCTTTTGAAGATGCAAATATTTTAAAGAGTTTAGGTCATCAAAAACAGAGGCATGCAACTGATCCAAGAGATTGCCACGAAGACTTAGTTCATGCAACTCAGAGAAGCCACGAAAAGCATTAGGTGGAATCTCATCGATGCCATTGTAATCCAGATTCAGATACGACAGATTTGTAGCATCCTTCAGAAACAGCACCGGACCACCAGGGTTTGCCATTTTCCACAATCTAGCTAAGTTGTTGTGCTGCATTTTCACCACTTTTAGATTATACAGACCTTCCAACAAGTCAGCATTTATGTTTGCAATATTATTATTACTGAGATCTAGGATTGTGAGGTTGACAAGTGGCCTGAAAGGAGATGGTTCCATATCTAGAGTCCCTTTTAAAGCACGACCTAGCTTTAGGGTCCTCAATGTAGAGACATGAACGAATGATGCATTGGTGAGGGAAATACTTTGCTGGTTTATAGACATGTCAATCTCTTTAATGTTAGAGAGGCCCTTGAACTCATTCCCTTGTAACTGCTGATTGATAAAATTGCGACTCATTAGTAGGTTGCTGAGATTTCCTAAACTTGAGAAGGCACCAGGCTCCAACTTGTTGATGCCCATGCCTGTAAGATTAAGAGTCTGAAGGAGTGGAGATTCTTGCAGACCAGCAAAGGTTTTATTTGTGACTGTCTTTATCCCTGTGATGCTCCAACTCAAATCCAATGTCTTCAGGTTCCGAAGGCCAAAAAAGATTTGTTCAGTTAACTCTCGGAAGGCAGTATTTGCCATACACAAATATTCCAACTGGACTAGATGTTGGAAGGAAAAGTCATCAATAACAGGTAAAGATGCATGACTCTTAATTAGGGCTTTCCGCAGGTTGAGCTGCCTTAGGTTTCCTAGTCCACTGAATGAGTCATTAGTTAGGTGTCTAATTGTGTTATGCTCCAGAGACAAAAATTCCAGTTGGGGCAACCACTGAAAGGCACCATCTACAATCTTTGAAATTCTGTTTTCACTAAGGTCCAGAACTTTGATCTTGGTCTTCTCTAGACCTTGGAAAGTTGTGTTTGACAGTGTCACCTGTTCAGTGCTCTTAAGAGAAAGGTTTCGCAAGGCTGTGTCAGCAAGTTCTTCAAAAAGACTGGTGGTAAACTGAGAGGTGAGCTTGCTGCTATCCAACACCAAGTCAGACAGTGTATCGATAGCCTTGAAACACCCATTCTCCACCTATGTTCCCAAAACAAGTAAAAAAAAAAAACAGGACAGAATTGGAGTAGGAATGGTAAAGCTAGAAAGGTTTCAAGAAAATTCCACTTGAGTTTTACATGAAAATGTCTTGATTACAACTGTTTACATAATCAAGATGCAGAGATTTAACATTTGATAGTGTATAATTATTCTAATATATGAAAGACTAACCATGTGTCCATTTAACCTCTCTCATATCAAACAAACTACAGTCTCAGTATTGTGCATGCTTTTATTGTATTGATATATTTTAATGTTATACCAGCATTCAAGTTGCCATTGGGTTTTCAGGTAATGTCGGTTATCAATACAAAAGTTATTCAATGTTATTACATCATTAGAGCAAAGTCCAATTGTCTGGTTAGCAAATTGTCGGGTTTCTAGCAGTTTTCCAAAGTAAGTAAACACTAACTTTGACAACACTGACTCTTATGTGAAATCAGTGAAAGCAGCTTGACGTGACACATTCGGTTCCTCTTACCTTTTTAAGAATCAGAGATGAGAGAATCAGAACCCGAAATGAAGAAGAATTACTGAGAAATGAGAAGTCATTCTTTTGCAGTATGTTAATGTTATTTCCAGAGAGAACCAGGGTCACCAGGTTTGGCAGCTGAGGTTCTGTTCCCAGTTTAGCAGATGTCAGTTTGTTTCGAGATACATCCAACCATGTTAAATTCTATGAAGGAAGAACATGTTAATAAAGCATATTTATCTGTAAGACCATAACACACTTGAAAAAGTAATTATTGGTGTAAGAACCTAGAGATGGGCTTATCAATGTTGATCAGACTATTAATATTATTCTTAAATAATAAGAAAAAATCCTTAAACATCCTTAAAACATCCTTAAATAATAAGAAAAAAACATTCATTAGAATGGCACACCATATTCACATATTCAGTTGCATATAAAATTGTTATCAGTCAGGTTGCACAAAGAACTATGCAAATATTAGTGCTAGATAACCATATTCCAGCTGAGCCTAAATGACTATAAACATAGTTAATAAATGATAAAACAAGCACAAAAAAAAACTAAACTTTCTAATGCATTTATCTATATTTTTCTTGTGTGCTAGACAATGTATCTACAATGTAAAAACATACCTTTAAGAGAGAGAATGGCTCCCCTTGTAGCTTCAGCTTATTGTCAGACAGGTCAAGTTGTGTCAAATGAAAACAGTTTTTCAGGTTTTTTTCGCTTATCAAATACACTTGATTGTGTTGCACATTAAGAAATTGCAGGTGCGGCAGAGAAAGACAGAGATCCTTTTCTATGCCAGCTAAAGAGTTGTAGCTCGCATCTATATTCACCAGATTTGTGTACATGTGTAGAGAAGACAGAGTTTTAAGTCTGTTGTGAGATACATCCAGTGTGGTAATATTTGTAGGTAAGTCCGTTGGAATTGCATCCAGATTCATATGACTACAGTCTGCTTTGGCATTCTTAATCATGCAAGCTGACTTGCGTGCATTTGTAGTGCCTGCACAGTGGGCACTAAAACAAGCGTAGAACAAGGGCAATAATATGAGTTTCATTAGATCCATATTTTCCTTCCTTTCAAAGTTTTTTCCCCTCTAAGTCAATCTGTAAAAAGCATAACTTTATTGTTGACATACAGTACACAGGCTTAAAGATTGATAGAAAAATATACAATAAAATATAAATAAAGACCAGAGCCTCCTGTCACATGGGGAAGTCATAAGATACTCACTCAAGTTCTTTTCAGTTTGATTTTAGTTGGTTAGAATTCTGCTCTATAATTTATGCCTAATATTTTTAAATATTTTATTAATTAACTAATAATTTAACAAGTTATTTTAGTACATCAGGTAAAAAAATGCAAATGCTGCAATATAAAATATATGAAAGTAATTTTAACCTAATGTTAGTCAAAATAAATGTTTGTTGTTTAAATTTTTGCAGTATCTGCAGTTATAATTTGCTTTTAACCTACATGAGAAGTACTACAGTATTTTATAGTATTATAGTGATTTTAAGATAGTAAATTATTATAGTAATTCTACTATAGTTGTTCTGTTAAGACAACAACTTTTGTAATATTTAAAAAAAATGACCAAAATGCTAAGTTTTCTACAATTAGGTAGATATACTACAATACATTACAGTTTACTATAGTAAAAACTGAATAGTACTGCATTTTATATTACATTTTATCAGTTCATAGTTAAAACTGCATGTAGAATACCTTCCTTTAACAAAGTGTTGTAAACAATTTTTAGTATAATGCACTTTACTACACTGGTTTAAACCACTAATATTTAGTATTTAAATACTGTTTGTCTGTTCTATAAACATTATGTATATAGTTCTATATTTAAACTTTCATATATAAAGTGAGTTATGAGAGAACTAGCCATTGTCTCATTGTCATATTAAGAAATATTCGACAGTGCATCTGAAGAAAACTATATCCTAATTGTTTCTTTACTACTTACAAAACTGCTAACATGATATTTTAACAATAGGCTAATGCAGCATGCTATCGTTTATCACTGACTTACTTGATAGGTGACGATCTACTTTCCCAGGTTCAGCTCAGATGTCTGGTTGTGGTTCAATATGGTATGGCAACTCAGACCTCTTTTTTGAAACCAAATAAACTTCACGTGTTAGGAGAAAATAACCTTTACAAAAGGAACAATTCCTCTTTCTTAAGAAGTGAAACAAACAGAGAGGCGGAGCTATCACGTAGTCCTACAGTAG